AGGGATTTGAACAAAACCAGTCCGAAAGACGACTTTCTCTGTCGCATATCGATAAATTAGTGGACTTCACTGCTGGGCATGCGCTGCTCTCGTTCATGGATGGGTTTTCAGGCTACAATCAAATTTTTATGGCACCCGAAGACAGGGAGAAGACTGCCTTCACCACCCCGTGGGGAACCTATTGTTATAGGGTAACGCCGTTTAGGTTGAAGAATGCCGGAGCTACGTATCAACGGGCTGCGACCACAATTTTGCACGATATAATCCATAAAGAGGTTGAGGTGCACGTGGACGACATGATTTTCAAGTCCAAGGAAAGAGAGGGCCGCTACACCGCCATGCAGAAATTCTTCCAACGGATCAGAGAGCATTGGTTGCAGCTGAATCCACAGAAATGTACATTTGGTGTTACAGCAGGGAAAATGCTGGGGTTCTTGATCACACAGAGAAGTATTGAGGTCGATCCCTCTAAAATCAAGGCCATCTTAGAAATGCCACCACCGAGGACTGAAAAGGAGGTGCGAGGCTTTCTAGGTAAAGTGCGATTCATAAGACGGCTTATTGAAAAATTAACCTTGACTTGTGAACCACTGTTTGGTCTCCTGAAGGAAGGAAAGAAGTTCTAATGGGGCGACCGATGCCAAGTTGCTTTCGAGCAGATCAAGCAATATCTACAGAACCCACCTGTGTTGTCACCGCCTGAGCCAGGGAAACTATTGATTCAGTACCTATCAGTGACTGAAACGACAACGGGCTGCATGCTTGCACAGGAGTCTAAGGACAAAGTGGAGAAGGCTATCTACTACCTGAGCAAGAAAATGCTGGATTACGAGACTCGCTACACTCTGCTGGAGAAGGCTTGTTTGGCCTTGGTATGGGCTACCAGGAAGTTGAGGCATTACCTGTTAGCTCACTCAGTAATACTGGTTTCGAGATTAGATCCCATCAAATATCTCTTCGAGAAACCAGCACTTACGGGTAGGCTAGCCCGTTGGTTGCTTCTGCTTTCCGAATTTAATCTAAAATACATGACGCCCAAGTCAGTGAAAGAGAGAACGGTAGCGGAGTTCCTAGACAGCAACCCAGTTGAAGGAGATAAAGCAGTTGAGTATCTATTCCTAGACGAGGCCATTCTGCATGTCAAAGAAGAGACTTGGACTATGTACTTTGACGGAGCGTCAAACCAATACAAGTATGGGATACGGGTGTTGCAGATAGCACCCGACAATTCCTGTATACCTCTACCATTCAAACTCCGGTTCAAAGTGTCAAATAATGAGGCAGAATATGAGGTATGTATTGCTGGACTAGAAGCCGCCCTGGAACTAGGGGCAAAACGGTTGGATGTCATCAGGGACTTGAACCTTGTTGTATCTCAAGCTAAAGGAGATTGGAAAGTTAAAGAAGAAAATATGAGAATCTATCACCAGACCTTGGACGTTCTGATTCCTCGATTTGACAAGCTGAATTTCGCCCATCTGTTAAGAGAGAACAACAGGTTCGCTGATTCATTAGCAACTCTATCTTCTATGATAGACATCCCTTTCGGAGTCTGGATGTGTCCGATCATCATTGAACAGAAATTCGTGCCGGCCTATGAGTTGATTGTTGCCATAGATAAGGTACAAGATCAGAAACCTTGGTATTATGACATCTGGAACTTCTTGGAAAATGAGGTGTATCCACCAGGGGTAAATGCCAAAGATAAGAGGGAAATTCGAAGAATGGCTACTCAGTTCATCGTCTGTGGGGGTAAACTGTACAGGAGGGGTCATCTCGGGATGCACAAGTTGTGTGTAGATGCTGAAGAATCCAAGCACCTGATGGAGGCCTTCTATGGAGGAGAGTGCAGAGTGCACATGAGCGGGGTGATGCTAGCCCGGAAGATCCTTAGACAGGGTTATTACTGGTCGACCATGGAGGAGGATTGTATTGGCTTTGTCTGGCGATGCCACAAATGTCAGATCCATGCAAACCACATGAACATTCCGCCGTCGAAGCTGTACAACATGACTTTGCCATGGTCGTTTTCAGTCTGGGGGATTGATGTGATTAGGGCTGTCACTCCGAAGGGGTCCAACGGGCATGAGTTCATTTTGGTAGTGATAGACTACTTCACGAAGTGGGTTGAGGCCCAATCTTACGTGGTGTTGAAGGCATCGCATGTTGCTAAGTTCATCAGGAACTACATCATCTGTCGCTCCGGGGTCCCGAATGAGATTATTTTGGATAATGGTTCCCACTTCAAGAAGGAGGTGATCGACTTGTTGGAGAAATAAAACGTGACTTTTCATAAGTCTTCTACATATCGGCCGCAAACCAACGTAGCAGTTGAGGCCGCTAACAAGAACATCAAGCACATTCTGCAAAAAATGGTGGAAACCTACAGGGACTGGCCAGATAAGCTGCCATTTGCTCTTTGGGGCTACCGGACTTCAATTCGAACTTCTACTGGGGCAACTCCGTATTCCTTGGTTTATGGGATGGAGGCTGTTCTACCTATCGAAGTTGAAGTTCCGTCATTACGGGTATTGGCTGAGTGTTAGATAGCTGAGGCAGATTGGCAGCAAAGCAGGTTCGAAGAACTCATGCTCTTTGATAAAAGAAGGCTGAAAGCACTGTATCACGTCCAGGGTTATCAACGAAGAATTACCAGGGCTTTCAACAAGAAGGTTAAGTCCAGGAATTTAAAAGAGGGGGATGTACTGCTCAAAGACAACCGAGCCCCCATCCACGACCCTAGGGGCAAGTTCAGACCCAATTGGACTGGTCCTTACATCATCAAGTCTATCTGGTTGGGTGGAGCTGTCATTCTAATGGACCTAGATGGCCTTGAGTTCTCCCAGCCGATCAACATGGACAAGTTGAAGAAATACTATCCTTGAGTGGCTCGCTAGGCCAAAAACCTAAAAAGGCGACCTAGGCAAAAGTTATAGGACAGAAAATTTGGAATAATAAAAACTGAGCTCGCAAGTTTGAAAACCCAAAAAAGGGTGGCCTTGGCAAAAGTTAGAGCGCAAAAGGAGAGTGTTAATACATGAGTGAACCTGAACCGAACTACGTAAGGCTTGATTCCCATCTTTGGGATACGTAGGTAACTTCATTTTGTTCATTTTGAAGTCCAGCCATAAACACTTCCCCGATCAACTTTGTCCATGTGATCATGTTGGTCATCTTTGTCTATTATGCATTCAAGAGCTCAGTTGTGATCTCCAATGCTGTGTTATTCAGACTAGGGGCAACTTTCCAGTTGCTAGATCCGGCGTTGTGCATATCAGTGATAGATCTCGGGCATGTCCAGTTTTGATCCATATTGAAAATGGTTTTGAAAAGTTTTAATAAAAGTTGATTTTGCTCAAATTAATCTTTTATGACTTAGACCATTTGTGGACCAAACGAAAAATTTCCAGTACCCATAAGCTTCAATTACATTGATTTTAGTACAGAGTTCTCCTATTCTTGAATACAAATTGAAGTTGCTTTTTATTACATTCATAAAAAAAACTTGAAAGTATTGATAAAGCAAATAAATTCGGGGCATAGTCAGGTGTTCCTGCGTCCCCTCCCAGAGCTTGTGGAAGCCTCTGATGCCAAAGTAGGCCCAACCTGCGCCTCTTCATCTAGCCAAGCTATGCACTCATCAGAGAAGGTGCAACTAAAATTAGAATAGAGATGTGCACGTGGAGAGAAAAGTGAGAAAAGGGTTTTGAGAGAAAAACTGAGCCTGAGGGCCGAGTGATATGAGAAATATATGTGAGATAGGGTGGGAAACATTACCTGCAGCAGTAGTGGACTCCCCATGAATCTAGTCGTCTCCTGGCGATGGAAAGCATCCAAACCCATCAGTGTCTCAGCTAGCGTCATGGCAATACAACTCTTGCCCTCTTTTAAACCTTGAGCAACCTCCATCAAACGGATGCTAGACCCTCCAGAGCTTGGGGCAAGCAAGAAATGAGACAACATGCACAAGCAGAGGGCGTGTCGCCGAAAACCCTGCTAGTGATGATCGTCGCGGTCACCGGCATTAGAAAACCGATGAATCAAGCTGGGGATGTCCAATTCTCCGTCGCAAATCAAAGACCGAACGTCATGCAAAGCAAGCCCACACATCCGTCCTAAGGCTTGGATGTGGCCAAAACGGAATTGGAGCAAGATCTCTTCATCGCGCTCGGACTCCATCAAAGTTTAGAAGTCTTCGAAAGTGGGACACATCTCTTGTCCGCCAAAGCTAAAAACATGAGTTACCGGATTCCAACACCTTGCCGGGGCATGGAGGAACGGAAAACGCAGCGGGGTGCGGCTCAGCGTGAATAGTGCATTTATTTCGAAGCCCTAGAAATTTAGCTTTTCCGAGCTATCCAAGTTAGCAATCCAATTTTTGAGATTTTGAACAAGAAATGCCTCCATTTGGTGTAAAAACTGAGTTAGAATGAGGAAACCATGAAGCTGGAAACTTTATGAAGGATAAGGCACTGTTTAGAGGACAAGTGGCAAAAATCTGGAGGTCCCTAGCCTCACTAGTCAGCCGACCACTTCTTCTGGTCGACCAACCATAGTTTCTGGTCTACATACCACAAAAGTGGTCGGCAAGCTATTTTGGTGGTCGACAATGAGCAAAAAATGGTCTACAGCCACTTCTTGTCTCCAGCGGAGGGTTCCTAGCCTTCCTATGTGCTGAGAATGCTGAAGGTCTGAGTTTATTTCTGCTTCGGATGTGTCCTCTGGCTTTGTTTATCCGACATGCATTTGCTTATTCAAGTTGTTAAGTTTTTCTTAACGAGTTGTTAGTCTTTGATTATCGATTTGTTGCTCCTTGCTTATCGAGTTGTTTTTAATTCGTTAATCGAATTGCTCTTTATTGTTGTTTTGTTTGTTATGTTGGTTCACTATCTGACTTGGCAATACACGAATGTTCAATTTCCATCAATCTCATTTTTGTGCAAAATGATGCGATGCTTAGAATACAAATGCAACACTTTTTGAACAAAAAGCTATTTTCATTCCATCATGTTTTCTTTTTACAACAAGGTACATGTTTTAAGGAAAATAAAATTGCTTAGCACTGTACAATATGCTATAACTACTAGCAAAAAAAGAAAACAAAGCAAAACAACTGAGTCGGTGCTATCTGGCTCAAGGTCGAGAGGCCCTCTTCACCCTCTTCGGCTGAGCAGCCTCTGCACCACCGCCATCGGCACCCCCGTCTAAACCAGAGCCGCCATCCTCAGAATCCTGCTCGGTGTGGCCTCCGCCCTTAGAACATGAATCGGTGTCATCACCTCTGCCCGCGGATGCCTCTGACTGACGATGTGCTGCCTCCTCCTCCTCACTAGACTCATCACCACATCTGGCAAGTGCTCGACGCCTCCCTCGATAGCATGTTCGGATCCCTCTCCCTGCTACTCGAGAAGGCCTGGATGGCCAACGCTGTAGAAGTGAGACCTGAAAAGGCAGTTTGAATACATCAGCCAGAGTATGTATATCAGATGCAAGTATGGTGCGTAGAGTGAGTGCATGAAGATATAGTATGTGAATGTGATGTGTCGGGTGTGCTCTGTACATACAGTGAATTAGTGTAGTGAAGTGTTGAGCTTTGGCATGTCATCAGAAGTACGATAAATACAAGCAAACTGGAAAGTATCGGGATGCCGGGGGTGTACAACATCGTCTTCCTCCGCAAGACCACACCTTCGAGTGAGGCCATCGCCTTGAGTAACCCCTCAACATATCCTCTGGGAGGCTGCAGATGCAAGTTCAAGTCATCAGTGAATGAATGAATGTCTAAATATCTGAATGATAGATGAAAGCTGTGGAGCATACCGACGTTGAGTCAGGGGCACTAGCATATCGATGGTCTGGCAATGGAGGCTCTAGCGGAATCTGGTAAAGCATCCCATACCGCCAGCCTGTTAGCTCGGTCGGAGGATCTGGCCACCCAGCACACTACCAAATAGGGGGCATCCCTCTAGTCTGACCTCTCGATGTGCTGGCCCTGCTAGTCGAAGGTATGTCTGTAGCTCGGGTGAGGCTCGATGAAGGAATGTCAGCAGCTCTCCTCATGGGGGCACAAACACCTATCAGCAGGGGCATCATGTTTGTGTTAAGGTATGTCGTGTACTCACCCTCCTCCAGGAGAAGGACTGCGTCAGCACCTTACATAAGGTCGCTAACCTCCCAGGGAGTGAGACTCTCTGTGGTCCGCATGTCTGATGGAGGTGGTGAAGGGATCTCCTGAGCGGGATTACCAGGTGTCTAGCACATGAAGCACTCCCCGAGAAACCAGGCTCTGCCAACTGGTCCCTCAAACAAAATCCGGTATCGGGAGGCGCCCCATGCACCAGCAAACTAGAACCAAGAAAACCCTGGCATCGCCACCCAAGGCTACCAACTGATCTGCGGATAGCAAGTGCATGAATTTATTAGTTGTCACAGATATGCAAGATGAACCGAAGCTAAAAGCATGAAGAATTGAGAGTTCTGGATTACCTCGATCGCCCATATGATGTCAAAATAATGCCGGACGTACGGCAAGGTCTCTCGAGGTCTGGGCCGGCGTCGACCCTCAAATCTGCATGAGTATGGCACCTCAAGTGATGCCTGAACCTCTGGATCAGGAGCAAGCGTCGGGAAGTAGGCGCATATCCACAGCTGTGAAAGGCAAGACAGTGGCAATCAGAATACAGAATGTACAAAAAATGCAGAATGCAGAGTGCCGAATGTAATATGTGTAATGAGCAAAGTGTGCAATGTACAGGTAATAAAAAGCAGAAATGTAAATCAAGAGGGAAGAATATACCTCCCAGGCTCTCCAATAGCCTCATACTATGTTCCCGCACCCGCGGGACGTTGCGCTCATATAGCAGTAAAGGGTAGCAAGGCCATCGCCGCCCCAATCGAAGTGCTGAACCTAGGATAGGTCTACTAGAGCACTAAGAAGATATAGCCTGACCGTGTTCCCCCTGTCGGAGAACAATGTGGTCCCAAGAAGGAACATTAGAAATCCCCGGGCGTACTGCTCTGTGGCCTCAATAGTCTCGGGCACGGTCCCTTAGTACTTGTCTGTAAACCAGGTGTCTCTGACCATGCCCGATGATCGGCAGATCGACAGATGGGCTCCGAGTAGATAAATCCAGGCTGCCAACCACTCACCCATATCGAAGTCATATGGGATTGGCCGACCTCCTATGTCGAGGCCCATCAGCATAGAAAAATCGTATGGGGTCATCGTCATGTCCCCAGTAGCTGAAAAATGGATGGAGTTGGTGGTGTCCCACCATATCTCTACTAATGCGCCCAGGAGGGTCCTACTCGCCGGAAGACGCGACAACCCCACACAAAATGGGCCGAACCTCGCCTCATCTACAATCTATCGAGCACAGTCTGGGAGCTCCGTGTACCACTGCCTCGCTATGGTCGACCCATATCTCCAGGTAAAACAGGAAGCCACCTGCATTTAGAATGAACAGAAATACAATGTGACCTGCGTTCAGAATGAGCAGAAATACAGTTTGTGAGCCGTGTGCAGAACGAACAGATGTATTCAGTTTCAAGATGAACAGAATGTTGTGTGTGAGCTGTGTTCAGAATGAGCAGAAATACAGTTTGTGAGCTGTGTGCAGAATGAACAGATGTATTTAGTTTCAGAATGAACAGAATGCTGTGCGTGAGCTATGTGCAAAATGAACAGAAATGCAGTGTGTGAGCTGTGTTCAGAATGAGCAGAATTGTTGTGTATGTAAATATGTTTAGAACGAGCAGATATAATACATAGCGAAAGCATGAAATCTGTAAGAAACATAAAATACATCACAGAAAATGTAAAAGTGAAGTACGCACCTCACGCACATGATGAGACAGGTGGGACTCTGGCTCCCATAGTAGCAAGTCTGCGGGTGCTCGTCGCGCAAAATCTGTGAAAAGATGAAAAGTGCTCGGTGGTAATACGTGCTCCTGAGGGTGGTACCTCTCCGGCTCGAAAGGCTGAATCTTGGGCGGCAATGGCATGATGTCAGGCTCGTCCTCTACTCGCGGAGAACCCCCATAGTGTGGGATGTGGTCAACCATCTGAAAAAAGGTAGAAAATGAGCAAAAATGAGCGAAATGAGCCAAAATTGTCGAAAGTCAATAAAAGTCAACTCTCGGGAAGAGAAAAAGTCAAAGAAAGTCCAAGCCCGAGAAAAGGTGCTAAACTTCGAGAGAAACGTACCTCAAATGGTGAAAATGGAGAAAGAAGCTCCGAAAACAAATTCTGATCGGTTCAAAACGAAGAGAATCGAAAGTTTTCCGCGAATCAACTTCGCGTGGGGCGTTGGCAAACGCGTGCAAAGCCCGGATCTAAGAGAAAAAAGGGTCTAGGAAGGGAGAGCATGAGATTTCGGCACTAGAGGTGTCAATGAAATGAAGGTGTACACTTATAGAACCGAGGCCAAAAGACCAAACTGCCCTGCATTTCATTAAACTGGTCGACCGACCAGTTTTTCAGGTCGACCGACCACTTAGGTGGTCTACAGGTGGTCTGCAGGTAGTGTACGTGGTTGGCAGCCCTCCTGGGCTGTCTTCACGGTCCCATTGTCCTCCCTGTGTGTTTTTATGCTGATTGGGGTCCTTGGCTCTCAAGAAAGTGCAAGAAAAGTTCACTATTTTCGACTCAAAATGTTCCCGCGGGAACTTCGACTCACGTATTCGATGCACGGCTCATCGTCACTCATCAAGAGCAAGGTGTATCCTTTTTAAGTATGTTGTGACCCCTCTGAGAGGTTGATCGGAGGTTGTATTTGAATTGGTCTCGTTAAGGCGTGTATTTCCTTATTTGGCATTTTACTTTAAACATGCTATTGATGCTGCATTGAAAATGCATTGTTATTGTGCATGAAATGTGTATGACACGTTGCATTGTTATGCACTTTTCACTTGTATTGCAATGCACTTTTCGTTGCATTGTTATGCACACTTTTCACTTGCATTGCTACGCATTTTTCACTTGCATTGCTATGCACCACTTGCATTGTATGTGCACGTGTTTATCTCGTATTGGAATTGTATCTTGATGTAACGTTGAACATGTGTTTTTACTATATTGTACCTGTTGAGTTTCTTTCTTATGCAGGCACGATATTGTATGTACGGTTCATTTGAAGTTGGCGCAACCAGGCGATATTGTATGTACGGTTCATTCAAAGAAGTTTCGTTTAAGATTGTTCACCTAGTGTATCTATCACACATCCTCACTTAGTGTGTCTATCACACTTTATTCACCTACTGTATCTATCACACTTTGTTTATTTAGTGTATCTATCACACTTTGTTCACTTAGTGTATCTATCACACTTTGTTTCCCTTAGTGTATCTATCACACTTCGTTCCCCTTTTGTGTATCTATCACACATGTTCACTTAGTGTATCTATCACACTTTGTTCCCTTTTGTGTATCTATCACACATGTTCACTTAGTGTATCTATCACACTTCGTTCACTTTTGTGTATCTATCACACATTGTTCACTTAGTGTATCTATCACACTTCGTTCCCTTTTGTGTATCTATTACACATGTTCACTTAGTGTATTTATCACACTTCGTTCACTTTTGTGTATCTATCACACTTTGTTCACCTAGTGTATCTATCACACTACGTTCCCTTTTGGGAATCTATCACACATGCTCACTTTGTGTATCTATCACACTTTGTTCACTTTAGTGTATCTATCACACTTTCTTCATTTAGTGTATCTATCACACTCTCTTCACTTAGCGTATCTATCACACTTTGTTCACTTAGTGTATCTATCACACTTCGTTCCCTTTTGTGTATCTATCACACAAGTTCACTTAGTGTATCTATCACACTTCATTCTCTTTTGTGTATCTATCACACTTTGTTCACTTTGTGTATCCATCGCACTTTGTTCATTTAGTGTATCTATCACACTCTCTTCACTTAGTGTATCTATCACACTTTGTTCACTTTGTGTATCTATCACACTTCGTTCACGTAGTGTATCTATCACACTTTGTTCACTTTGTGTATCTATCACACATCCTCACTTAGTGTATCTATCACACTTTGTTCACCTAGTGTATCTATCACACTTCGTTCACTTTGTTCACCTAGTGTATCCTCACTTAGTGTATCTATCACACATGTTCACTTAGCGTATCTATCACACATGTTCACTTAGCGTATCTATCACGCTTTGTTCACTTTAGTGTATCTATCACCCTTTGTTCATTTAGTGTATCTATCACACTCTCTTCACTTTGTGTATCTATCACACATGCTCACTTTGTGTATCAATCACACTTTGTTCACTTTTGTGTATCTATCACACTTTGTTCATTTAGTGTATCTATCACACTCTCTTCACTTAGTGTATCTATCCCACTTTGTTCACTTTGTGTGTCTATCACACTTCGTCCTCTTTTGTGTATCTATCACACATGTTCACTTAGTGTATCTATCACACTTCGTTCACTTTTGTGTATCTATCACACTTTGTTCACCTAGTGTGTCTATCAAACTCCATTCCCTTTTGTGTATCTATCACACATGTTCACTTTGTTTATCTATCACACTTCGTTGCCTTTTGTGTATCTATCACACATGTTCACTTAGTGTATCTATCACACTTCGTTCACTTTTGTGTATCTATCTCACTTTGTTCACTTGGTGTATCTATCACACTTCGTTCCCTTTTGTGTATCTATCACACATGTCCACTTAGTGTATCTATCACACTTCGTTCCCTTTTGTGTATCTATCACACATGTTCGCTAAGATTGCATAATTTTCTTACATCCTTTCTGCATGAGATGTAGTTTGGTTCGTGCTTACTTGCTTATGTACGAGTTTGCTGTAGCATTTCTTTGCATAAGATTTGCGCTAGATGTTTTGTTGCAGCCCTCTTTGCATGATCATAAGTTATGTTCTGCATTGTGCATGTCATTTGCATCTTGCCCTTGCTTGCGGGCGCATCTCTTTGTTATCTTGCCTCTTTGTCTAAGTCTTCGGCCTTGTCAAAAATGGGTCGTCTCTGGGCTTTGACATTTACTCTCATCACTTCACTTCCGAGTTCTGTCAAAGTGGGGCAACTGTAGATGCCCCATTTTTGACCGACTTTAAGAATCAGATGTCATCATTTGTGAACACGATGATCGCGCATGTTTGTGCTCATTTCGAGTTTCTGGAGTTTTCGGCTGAGTGCCTTGTCCCTGGGCCTCAGAACTTTTATGTTTTGGCTTGGTTTGTGGACCATGCCTTGTTGACATCTTCTGGAGGGAGGGAGAGGCCTATAGACCACTTCATGTAATCGTAGACTATTTTTCCCTCTTGTAGGCTAGTTTCCGCTTTCCGGAGCCTTCAGCTGAGCGCCTTATCTCGGGACCTCTTAACTTTCTCCTCTTGCCCTGGTTTTTGGACCATGCCTTATTGCCTTTGCTTAGAGGGAAACAAAGGTCTGTAGACCACTTTTTGTAGTCGCAGACTACCTTTCTCTCCCGCAGGCTACTTTTTGGACCTGTAGACTAGTTTTCGAGGCTTCTGGTTGAGTGCCTCACCTTGCGGACTCTTGTCTTGCTTCCTTTTTGGTTTGGTTTTTAACTAAACCTGGTTATCCCTTGCCTGGAGAGTGGAACAGGGGTGTAGACCAGTTTCTTCCCCTGTAAACCACTTTTCTTCCCTGCCAGCCAGTTTTCTGGTCGGCCAGCTAGGGTGGGTGGTCTGTGGACCACCTCAAGTGGCCGGCAGCCATGCCATCACCTTCCTCTCTCTGTGCAGACCACCTCTCCCCCCTTGCCGACCACTTTTTGTCCTTGCAGGCCACTTTTTCTGGTCAGTCGACCAGTGGGAGTGGTCGATCGACCACTTCAACTGGTCTGCAGCTTTGCTGCACTTTCTGCAGATATTTTTGATGCCAGCTGTGCCAACTGTTGGGCACAGAAAGCATCCTCCATACACAAGCTTCTAGCTTGTTCAACAAACTTCAAGCTTGGAATTCTATATAAGGGAGCCTCCTCCCTCTTGTCTCAGGCTGAGAATTTTGCATTAGGGCTATACATATCCCTCTATCTCTATACTTCTTCATTTCTCTCTATATTTGTGCTTAAAAGTGCCATTTCTTCACACTTTTGCACACAAACACCTAGTGAAACACCTTTGCTTTGGAGCTGAGGCACCTTGAAGCTAGTTTTGAGGTTTTTTGGATTGCTTTTGGTCCAAAAAAGTTGCTGGAGTTGCTGCTTTGTCCTTGTTTTTCAAGGGTAAGAAACTAGCCCCTTAAAGCTTTGTTTTTGATTAAGTCTTTGGCCCTATTTGCATGATGTTTTAGGCCTAACTTTAATCTGCAAAAATATTCATTTTCAAGTGTTTGAAATGTTTGTTTAAGGCCTCTTTAGTGTTGGGGGTGGTCTACCCCCT